CTGGAGCCTCAGCACCTGTGCGCCCGCGCCGCTGAGCCCCGGCACCGAGTGACCGTCCTGCTGTACAGCACGGGCTGCCTGTCCCCGCCCGGCCGTTCGTGCTCGTCCCCGGCAGTTTCCTCCCGACTACTGTGTGCAAGCGTGTTTGCTTGCTCTCTGGAAGGCTCCTGGGCGGCGGGGGAACGTCTTTGTTATTTGGAGACATCGTTAGCATCTGAACCGAATTATTTGCCATGTGCATTGCTGGACATTGGCGGGGGGTGGCGGGGAGGTGCGACCCTGGGCAACGGTGTGAATGACTGTGAAAAGTTCGGTTGGGAGTTCGGATTTTAGCACTTGCTACCTGATTTAGGTGGGTTAGCGCCCGAAAGAAGAGCGACTTCAGGATAGTAAGGGGGAGGAGAAATTTCAGCCAGGGGGTGTCTCGTCTAAGAAGAGCTCGCGGCTGCAGAGGGAGAGGAGCTTTGTACTAAATAGGAGCGTGAAAGGGGCCGTCCTGGAAGGAGCAGCCAGCTGCCCCGGAGCAGCGGCCGGTGGGGTGGGTGCACCCGGCAGTCTAGCATTCCTGAAGCAGGTGAAGCGGGAAGCACGTTTAAAGACTAATTGGTATGTGGTTTGGGTTTGTTTATTTGGAGCTTTTTTGCTTAGCTCGTATATCCATTAGATTGGAGAGTTTAATGAAATTAGGGTTTTCTCGCCGTGTGTTTGCCTGTTTTTTGTTTGTTTGTTTGTTTTTCTCTGAGAAAGGGAGTTTACAGCATCTGTCCTTTCCTGGCTTTGAGCTGGAACCTCAGAACTCTCTTTCTGGGGAAACTTTGCAAATTTGGGGACGTCTTCCCTTGTAAGAGCTCTGGAACGAAGCCCACTGTGAAGTGTGCTTTCAGGATCCTGACGATTGTACACCACGGACAATTCTGTTTGCTCAGAGGTGTTCATCTCTTTCAGAAGTACAAAGGGGTCTTCAAAAAGTTCACAGAGATGTGTATTATGAAAACCTATGCAGGGATTTCTGAGTTTTGGTACCAATTGTACTTTATTTTCTGTGAACTTATTGAAGTCCCTTTGTATATAGCTTCTTTTTTCTTTTTGGGGGAGGAATATGCACAGCCATCTTTTATAAAATGATGTCTTTGCCTTTTATTAGTGTTACTTAATGAGAAAAGATTAGACAAGGTCAGTAATCCTAATGAAGCTGGTTGCTTTTACCCGTGTAGAGATTTCTCTTTACAGTTCTCAGAAAGCCACACTTCTGTATGTATGCTCTTTGGAAATTTGAATGTATCGATTAGATGGGGTGCTGCGAAAGTCTCAACTTTTCCCTCATCTCATCCCACTAAATTATTTTTGTGTGTCATCCAGACTCTCTCAAAGTACAGTATTAAAATTTTCCGTGGAGGGAGGAAAGAAGCCAGTTGCTTTGACAATATAATGAAACCTAGGACCTACTCCCAAGAAAAATGCACATAAACATATTAAAATGCTGTTTTATAGTTAAAATGTTTGATTATAAGCAGTTGCATGTGGTTCAGACTGATGTGCAGTTTCAGGGGGCTCAGCCACCACAGACTGAGTCCCTATTTCAGGGTCTGAACTGAAATGACCTCGCCCCTCCCGGACAGCAGGGAACACCTGGGCAGATTGAACACCCCCCTTCAGGCTCCTGTGCCGCTCTCCTGTTAGTTCTCTCCCTCCTTCCCCCCCTTTGTTTCTGCCTCTGGTTATGCTGCTGCTCATCCTTCACGATTGCCTTCCCTCTCTCCCCTCTTGTCTGCCTCTCTCTCAAATGGCATAAGCTATGTAGATTTCTTTGTTTTCACACTTTTGCCCTAAGGCACTTGCACTCACCAGGAAGACACAAAGAGAAACTGAGAAATCACCCCCCCCAGGGGGGTATGGCCGTGCTGCAGTCTCTCCTCCATTCTTCTCCCAGGATTTTGGGCACATGCACAAGTGCCCAGAGTGATTTTTTCAAGCCTCTGGGCCTAGGGCTCAAACTGCAATTCGCCATGTGGGAATCCAGCACCTTAACCACCATACCACTTGCTTACCCGGTTATGTGGATTTTAACTTGAATATGTGTTCTTAATTGAGTAGCATTTTATACTTTTTCTTATTTGAAAAAAAGAAAATAAGTTCAAACATCTCAAAAAAAGGAAAAAAGAAATTTTAAAAAGCCAATGTTTTTCTTCATTAGAGCTTCATGTTCCTATCAGTGTGATGAGTGGGCCAAAGTCGGATTGAGATTCCCTGTTGATGCAAAGGAGCATCGCTTTACTAGAATGCGTTGGTCTCCTCTGCTAACGGATGGACCCAGAGGCTGGTCGCCTGCTGTCAGAAGTTTTACTTGTAGCATATCGGGTTATAGCGGTAACAGGGTCATGTCAGGCACGTGCATATTTAAGAAATGAGACGTTTGATATCTGCCGGGCGCTCTCCAAGAGCAGAACTGCCATGCAGCCCATCGTGTTTAAACGGGGATGGGAGTGCCACAGCCTGGTACTGCTCCAGAAGACCACAGAACTCCCCACGTCCCAGAGGCTCTGCTGGTTCTTGAGCAAGAGAGATCCTGCCATAGCACACCACTCAACGTGTGCCCCAGAGAAGAGGAACCTTGTCATCCCCGAGACCCAGCTCCCCCATGGAAGATTACCAGTTGCCAGATTCTGGGGCAGCCTAGCGGTTACAAAGCCGCTCTGTCTCTGAACTGTTCAGCAGCTGGAGAAGGGAAGACCCAGAGAGCCATAATTCTGTTACATGCAGTAGTTCGCCAAGTAGGTATGATATCACTCTCCCCAGGTGATAACGGCTGATGGTTTTTGGACGTTTTCTCAGATACACGTGACTCCTGGTCAATTTATTCACCCAGTAAACTCCCTGAAGAACTCGCAGTCTTGCACACTCTGTGGGTGTCAGGGATGGCCGGGAAGCAAAGTCGCACCGTTGCTGCTTACATTTCTAGTGGGCACAGACAACATGTAACGTGTGGTGGGTTCTACGTAAGAAAGCCAGGGGAACGGGTTGAAGTGTTCAAGGAAGGCTTATGTGCGATGGTACCAGTGATCCCGGGAGGACCTGAAGGAGCCTGCTCCTGTCTGAGCCCCGACAGCACAGCACACGGTGAGTCGGAGACCGGAGGCAGAACCTCAGAACCTGCTGAGGGAGAAGGTGAGGGACATGAGGAGCACCCTCCCTCCGTCGCTGACTTGGCTGGCCGGGGAAGTCTTCTAAGAATCCGGCTTTTCCTCCAGCTAAGAAGCCATTGGCAGGTTTTAAACCAAAGGATCTGCTCTTTTAATTGTAGATGAATTGACTGTGCGTACTTACTAATGTTAGTAGTGTTCCCTGTCGCACCGGTTGTTGTCTGTCGCGGACAGTGAATTACATGGCCACGCCAGTTTAGAAGAGTCCCTGTAATGCTGTGTTGGAAAGACGAGGATGGAAGCCGAGCTCTGTTACTGTTGTCCACGTAGAGCTGGAGAGAAGTGGTGAGGTACTGAGAAGGCAGTTTCTGATGCGGCGAAATTTACTGATGGCTTGGATGTGGGCTAAAAGAAAAGGAGGAATAAAAGATGACCCCAAGGCTTTTACAACCACAGTACTGAAAAAGGAAGAAGATAGGTACATATTCCTAGAACAGCGTTTCTTGGTGACTATTCTCCAGTCAGTTTCTCTAATCACTCGACTTTTACTGAAAGGAGGACTTGGAAACAAGGAAAACTGCCTGCTGGGTAGCTCAGGCTTGAACGCACTGTGGGAACTGGTGAAAGCACTACGGTGCTTGAGCCTGATGTTTGCTAGATTTGAGAATACTGGAGAGAAGAGGTGTGTTTTGGGATTTTTGGAGGGAAAGAATTGGTTCACATTGATCTGGGATAAATGAAGAGGGACTTTCCTGCAGGATAGAAAATAGTTAGGAGCAAAAGTCTAAAAACTGGAATGATGAAAGGGCATCTCATAAGGATAAAACCTTTATCATTCTGTGTTGGAAATAGTTAACATTAGCTAACATTATTTTTTTTTAATTTACCAGAGGGTGAGTGCTCACAGGAGAGAGGTAGGGGAGGGAAAGTGAGAAGGCCTCGCCCGTGGGGAATGGTCTTGCCTGGCTTCCTTCTCCTCCATTGCTCCCACCTTCTGGGGACTTGGGGACACACGTGCACACATGCCCAGCAGATTTCTCAAGCTGCTGGTTCCAGGCCTTGAAACATGAAGTTGGCCATGTGGGATCCGTTCCCCTAAATTACATACCACGGGCTGCCCCCTAACAATTATGTTTCAATTGCTTACCTGCCAAGCAGCGTGACAGGGAATGTTAAAAAACGATTAAGGGAGAGGGAAGAGTAGGCTTATACTTGAGTGGAGAGAGCAATACTCCCCCCTTCCAAGATCCAATGCAATGCAAGAATTTCCTAATTGATAGTATGTATAGAAGACAGCAGAAACATGGAGGAAGGGCCACAGAATCCTGCCTCAGGTGTCAGGATGTCATAAATTCGTGTGATCTCCAAGGGTAAGAAGTCTGACAAGTGGGCAGGTGGAGGCAGTGGTAGGTGCCCGAGAACGTATCACTAGTGTGTGAACTTCGAAGAGAAAGGAGCCAGGTGGCAGAAGGTCAAGGTTTACTGAAAACCACTCAGATAGTCAAACTCATTTACATTAAAAGTATTGAACAGGAAAGTATAAAGTACAAGGGGAATCAGCTATAGAAACAGGGCAGTGTCCTTTTAAGTAGAGGTGATGTCCTATGTGTCTTCTCTCTTCCTCCCGTCTTATCAGGGACATTGACATTTTGGGCTGGCAAGGTCAAGGAGAGGTTGCAGGTCCTCCCCCCCCC